CGTTATTATGTAAAACAAGGTATTTGGTTGCTATTAAAAAATGCCTCAACTAAACAGTTTTGTTAGAGATACTAAATTTTTTTCCCTAGTGTGTTGTGAATAGAATCTGTCTCCGGATTAACATATTATCAGTTATATTCGCTATCTTTTTTTTTTTTTTAATATCACCAGCTCTCTCGTACTTTACTGTTAGCCACGACAAAACGTTATCGAGTGTCCTGCGATCGAATCGCATCGCGACTCCGAAGCGGAGACAGCCGAAAAGACGACGCAGGCAGGAAAAAGGCGCACCCGGTAATCGGGAGGCGACCGATTGTTGATTTATCTGGTCGACTTGGAAATACGGTTTACCAGCCGTCGTGGACAGCAGGGCGGTCAAGAGGTGGGCGGGGGCGAGGAGAGCAGGAGGGAGGGGGGGCGGACAGGGGCATACCCTGGAATGGTAATGGTAATGGTAATGGTAATGGTAATGGTACCGGTGCAGAACGTCGGAAACGCGGATTATACGAGCGTTCGTTTCTTGCCCCGATACCTTCGACGTCGTCTTCGTCAACTTCTTCTCCGTCCGTTTACAGTTAAGGATACCGAGACACCGGGATGAAATTAAGCCGAGCCTTTGTCTCTCTCTCTCTCTCTCACTCCCCCCCTCTCTCTCTCTCTCTCTCTCTCTCTCTCTCTCTCGCTCTCGCTCTCGCTCTTCCTCCCTCACGGTCATTGACATTTAACATTCGAAATCGGCGATTCGTCGCCGTTCATTAACGACGTCCGATTTTGCAGTCGCCATCACCGCATACCAGGCTTGATCAGCGATCACGTCAGTAATTCTCTATCACTTGTTAATGTCTGCGTGCGTCCTGATCACTTGAATGTCGTTAATTTCGCGAATTTGTCCGAAGTTGAATCCATGAAAAATTAAAAGAAAAAAAAATCCCACATGAGAAGGAGTATGCGTTAAAAAGAAAAGTATTCTATTTGTAAAGTGATTTTCCTCATAGTCTCGTATTCTAAGCGAAGCCTTTTACAGAAAAAGGATTCCTCTTTCGATAAAGCGATTAAAGTGAACCATTCATCTAAAATTTGTTAGAAAATTTGTTATTGTTATTCTAACTGTTGATTATTCTCACTGTTTTCCTCTTATTTCAAGAGGATATTTGGACAAATACGGTTTATAATCTATTGCAAGAAGTTGAATAATATATTCTTTCTTTTAATTATTCTTTTAACTATGTTTCATATAATTGGTTACGATGAACATGTTTGTAGCTATAAAGTCCGTAACAAAACTGATTGGATATTTATTTGTTATGATGATTTTATTTCATTCGTGCCTACTTATTGTAGAACTGGAGCCAGAAGTGCATCTATATATATATATATTACTTTTCGCAATACATTATAATTTTTTAAATTAATCAATATAACCGGTAAGAATAAAGTACAGTAAGAATAAATAATAATCCTCTTAAAAGAAGATTAAATAATTTGTATATAAGAGGAAATTTATATTAAAATCAATAAGATTTGCATTATACATATAACATATAATCCCTCTAACTTTAAGAATAATGCGTTTATAATATTTTCCTCTTAATCTTAGAGGAATCCTCTTGAGGCCATATATAAGAATAAAATCCTCTAAAATTTAGATGATTCCGTTTGTTCTAAAATTACTTTTTTTTTAATATGTCGAGTTATCTGTCGCTTTCTAAAGCGGTATGTAATTTTAACACCCAGGAAAAAGTAATTTCAAAACAAGTGGAATCATTTAAATTTTAGAGGATTTTATTCTTATATATGGCCTCAAGAGGATTCTTCTAAGATTAAGAGGAAAACATTATAAATACATTATATTCTTAAAGTTAGGGAGATTATATGTAACATGTATAATGCAAATCATTGATTTTAACATAAGTTTCCTCTTATACACAGATTATTTAATCTTTTTTTAAGAGGACTATTATTTATTCTTTCTGTACTTTATTCTCATTGGTTATACTAGTTAATTTGAAAAAAATTTTTATAATGTATAGCGAAAAATAATATATATATATATATATATATATATATATATATATATATAGATGTATTTCCGGCTTCAGTTCTACAATAAGTAGGTATGAATGGAATAAGATCATCATAACAAATAAATTTCCAATCAATTTTGTTATGAACTTCGTAGCTACAAAGATGTTCATCATAACCAATTGTATGAAATATAATTAAAAGAAAAGATACGTTATTCAACTTTTTGCAATAAATTATAAACTGTATTTGACCAAATATATGGCTAAGTTATCTTCGTTACAGCAACACACATACCTTTTTTAAAAGGCGTTCCAAATATTCTGAGCCATGAGCATATGATTATTTATTCGTTCATGTCTGAAGCATGTAGAGCATGACTGAACAAAAGAAGCCGACATTCAAATCGACATATTCCTCTTCATATAAGAGGAAAATTAATTGATATAAGAGGAAATCCTTATTTCAATAAGAAGAACACAGTTAGAATAGTATCTAATAAATTTTAGATGAATGCTTCACTTCAATCGGTTTATTGAAAGAGGAATCCTTTTTCTGTAAAAGGCTTCGCTTAGAATACGAGACTATGAGGAAAATCACTTTACAAATAGAATACTTTTCTTTGAGTGACCGTTTCGAAAATCTCGATATGTTTTAGCTCGTAAAATATTTTACTCGCGGAACAAATTTTTATGGGTAGTTATTTACTTTGCTCGTGTTAACTTGGCCGTATTGCAAAATTGCGAGTATATGCCTTTAAAAATTGTCACGTTGAATATTTGGAAAATAAGTTTAGATCATTTCATATAAGAGTTGTTGAAATCACAATGGCATCCTCCGTCAGGAAAGAGGCTGAGAGGATCGGAGACGACGCCATAATATTAATATGCATTTGGACAAAGTTCGATGTTCGATTGAAAGATGTTTCGCATCATTTGCATATCGATACAAGAGCCTCCGTATTAACACGTGTTATAATAAATGCTCATTAGAAGCATCTGCTTCGTTAGAACGTCCAAACATGAGAAACGCGAGGATTCTTGCGCAGGATCTTTTTACTTTGCAACAGAGAGAACACACTGGTTTTGTGTTCTCTCGCGATACTTACGAGGAACGGTACCTTGCGTCTCTTTCATCTTTATCTTACTTTTATTTTCTTTACTTTCTTTATTTACGTAAAGAACACTCGACATGTGCAACTTTCTCCTGTCATGTCTGAAGTGGAAATCGACACGCGTGTCATACTTTATTTCACATTTCTGTCTTCTGGAACTCGCACTAAAGTTCTCTAACCTTTCCGCGCAGAATATAAATATCCAGTCGAGATCGTCAAATTCAATATTAATGTTCAAAAGTAGAAACTCTCGTTGTTGCTTTTCGCGCGTGCGTCAGGGGAACCCCTTCGAGTCCGTACTTTTTTTGGAGCACTTCTTCCGATACGGCGGGCGAGATGAAGGAAACGAGATAGAAATTTTAGGTTGTATCATCGGTGTGTGAACTTGTATGAATGCATTGTGAAAATAGAATACAATACAATACAAATAATGTGGAATCCGTATGCATATTCACGCACATGCCATGGGCTATTTCGATCAACAAAGTTAAAGGACACGCTTACCGAGTGTTACTTACAACGCGCACTATTTTTATGAGATCCCCTCTCACCTGCCACCTTTAACGATTTTTGCCGCTTTAACATTCCTCACTCCCGAAGAGGTTTACCTTCATTCCGCGACACGTTCGCAACACTGCTGATTCGCAGGGAATATCAAATCTCAAAGGCCGTACGCGCGACAACGGCTGTATTACAGGCATTTTCAGTCAGAGGCTCTCGCGCGTGCGCCTGCTCTCCCCCCTCCCCTTCTCTCTCTCTCTCTCTCTCTCTCTCTCTCTCTCTCTCTCTCTCTCTCTCTCTCTCTCTCTCTGTCTTACGAGGCGTTGGAAAATACTAGGAGGAATTCTCATTGAGATAACGATACGACGCGTCGTATAAAGGTGGATATACACTAAGCGAACGAACAACGAGCGAACATCGGACGGACACCGAACGCGAATGTTCGAACGTTCGCATTTGCGCGCGTTCGTTATATTATTTCAAGCCTGCGGCGCGATTCTTTAATTCGGTTATTGGAGTTAACGATAACGAAAGTGTCGTTAACTCCAATAACGAGTTAAAGAATCGCGCCGCTCGGCCCTTATTTTGCGATAATTTGTGAAAAGTATCGTATGCGATAATCGATTAGCTAATCAATTATCAGGATAATAAGTAAGAAAAAATATCTATCTTGATATCGCAAAATTAATAGCTAAGAAAGCAAATTTGTAAAGAGAAGTAGCACGTGGCTGTGACGTCCAATCGTAATTAGCTGATCAATTATGAGACGTATCTAAGTTAGGGGTTAAAGCCTACCAACTTTATAATTAAAGCCAAAGTTTCCGGAACCGATTTCAAGACCCGGGGCCCGTGTTAACTCGTTATTGGAGTTAACGACACTTTCGTTATCGTTGCGCAGTGCTTTTGTATACCGTGGAAAAGCTGCGCCGCAATAACGATCACGAAACAAACTGTCGTTAACTCCAATAACGAGTTACAAAATCGCGAGTCACAGGTATCTTATGATAGCGATTGTTCGGATTGCATGTTCATCTCGCTCAGTGTACAGCCACCTTTAGAGGGGTTTATCCGTTTATCGAGAGTCGCTCCACGACGAAGCGCGACGAAGGAGAGGAGATTTCCGCGATTCCGCTGGGGCGCGTTTGCGGCTCTTTTAGCAGCGCGCCCGGTCGCATTGCGTATGCGTACAGCTGCGAATACGCGAAGACGTACGCGCGTGCATGCGTACGCCGTCGACGCATGCGAGCGGCGCGGCGTAGCGAGCACGCGTCGATCGAAATTTGACGTTTGCAGCGCGCGCGCGCGCGCTTCCGTCGGCTTCCGCGGGCGGCGTCGTCGTCGGCTCGCCGGACTTGCGCGCGAGCGGCCAGTCGCGAGCGCGAGTTCAGTCAGGTTGGAAGTGTCGCTCGACCGTCGTCGTCGCCGTCGTTGTCGTCGTCGCCGCCGGTCGCGTCGCTCCGGTCTTCTCGCTTCTCTCTCCGTCTCGATACGTCAAAACGCGCCCCGCCACGCCGCGCTCCGTCGTCGAGGTGCCGTTGCCGTCGTCGTCGTCGTCGTCGTCGTCGTCGTCGTCGTCGTCGTCATCGTCGTCGTCGTCGTCGTCGTCGTCGTCGTCGTCGTCGTCGTCGTCGTCGTGGTAGCCGTCGCCTCGTGATTCAGTGTACCCGCGGATGTGTATTGTGTGACCCGTTGCAACCACCTGATAAAGTGTCGCCGGACTCGCGGAATTAGTTCCGACCACGGGGGAGGAAGCGAGTGCAGCCGAGGTACGCCCCACCACTACCGCTGCCACCGTCGTCGTCGTCGTCGTCGTCGTCGTCGCCGCCGCCGCCGTCGTTGCTTCAACCCCTCAGCAGCCCGACGTCGATTCTCCCCGTTTGTGGTGAGTAACTCACGAATGTTGATCTCCCGTGCTCGCGTTATCGGAAACGGAGCGATACTCTGTAGGAGGGTATACATGTCTTTCTCTTTCTCTCTCTCTCTCTCTCTCTCTCTCTCTCTCTCTCGCTCAGCTGTGTTATCACGCATTCCTTGAGGGGGAGAGAGAGAGAGAGAGAGAGACAGAGTGACTGTCGATGCGCCCTTTGAATTTTTCTCCTTTATCGAGCCGTGCATATGACGGCGCGACGAAATTGATTCGGAGCGCGCGCACCGCAGAGCGGGCGACCTTTGACGTATAAGCTTCTTTAAGCACTTCGCTTAACACAACTCGACCGCGTAACTTGGACGCGGGCCGCGAACTTCGCCAATTTATGCGGAGCAAGGCGGTCGGCGATTTTTACACCGCGGCCTCTCGTGTAAATATGAACGTTCCGCGTTGATTGAATTGAAGGTTACCCAGCAGTCGCTCGCGGGCTGCTTCTCGTATTTGTGTGTTTCTGCGCCCCCCTTCTGCGGATGTCTCGGCGTTCTCGCGGTTTCGCAGTTGACCGTGTTTTTATCTCATCGCCTCACTTAATGTCACTAATGTCTCATTGCGCGCGCGATTTATCGACTGGACTCGATCGTGGGTATATTTATAAACGAGGAACGACTTGTTTATCGGGCTTCGCTATTATCCGCGGTTCCGGGATTCGCGTCCTGCGGAGATACGCAGGAGTTACACTGTATTTATTTATTTATTGATATCAAGCGATCGCGGGTCTATCGCGGGATCGTCAGGTGCAACGAGGAACGCACAGGTGCGCGTTCCGGGCTCGACCCGGGCAATGCAATAACGCGCAATAACAGTGCGTGATCGTTAAGTTTCTCTCCCCGCTGTCTCGAAAAGCTGCCGCAACGGAATAAATTCAGCGAATAAATCTTGCATAAATCTGTTAAAGCCTCGTGTATATACAGTGAGAAAAAGAAAACGCTCCCTCCGCGGAGCCGTGTCGTTTATTCGAGGCTTAATGCCATAATTCAGATCCCAGGATTAAGCGGGGAGAATGTTGTTAGGATCAGAATCTCCTAATCTGCTGGTTACCGCAGTGAAATCGAGATTTATCGCCACGAAAATTGCGCCGCGGGACTCGCTCCGCCGCCGCCGCCGCCGTCTTACATTGTAAAGCGCGAATTTCTTCGCGGAGCGTGGCCGCATTTTGTAGAAAGGCAAACGCGCGCGCGCGATGTTTTCCCTGGACGCGCGTTCGACAACAGGTTTTCACGCACGTAAGTGTCCGCATCGCTTACATAACGCGCCGAAGGTTGCTCGATCGCTGCGAAGTGACTCTCGGGGGAGCGTCCTTTACGCTCTACCCTCGGCCACGGGAACTCGCCGATTTCTCGTCGCGACGTTAAGGGAGGATTCACACTTGGGGAAAAAAGCAGCGAGTAGAAAGGCGCACCTAAAAAAAGAAATAATTTCAGTACAAGCGGAATCATCTAAATTTTAGAGGATTTTATTCTTATATATGGCCTCAAGAGAACTCCTCTAAGATTGAGAGGAAAATATTGTAAATACGTTATTCTTGAAGCTAGAGGAATTATATTATGTTATATGTATAACGCAAATCTTATTGATTTTAATATAAATTTCCTCTTGTACACAGATTATTTAATCTTTTTTTAAGAGGATTATTATTTATTCTTACTATACTTTATTCTTAATGGTTATACTGATTAATTTCAAAAAATTATTATAATGTATAGCGAAAAGTATATATATATATATATATATATATATATATATATATATATATATATATATAGATGCACTTCTGGCTGCAGTTCTACAATAGGTAGGTACGAATGAAATAAGTTTATCATAACAAATAAATTTCCAATCAGTTTTGTTATGGAGGATATCCCCTCATAGCTACAAAGACGTTCATCGTAACCAATTGTATGAAACATAATTAAAAGAAAGAATATATTATGGAACTTCTTGCAATAGATTATAAACCGTATTTGACCAAATGTGGGTAAATTATCTCCGTTATACACAGTAACACACATATCTTTTTTAAAAAACGTGTCAAATATTCTGACCCATAAGCACATGATTATTTTCTCGTTCATGTCTGGAGGTAGAACATGACTGAACAAAAAAAGCCGATATTCGAATCAACATATTCTTTTTCGTATAAAAAGAAAATTAATTGATATAAGAAGAAATCCTCTTGAAATAAGAGGAAAACAGTTAGAATATCTAATAAATTTTAGATGAATGGTTCACCTTAATTGTTTTATCGAAAGAGGAATCTTTTTTTCTGTAAAAGGCTTTGCTTAGAATATAAGAAACTATAGGAAAAATCGTTTTACAAATAGAATTTTTTTTTTTGGGTGCGGAAACCATTCAGAATTCGTGCTGGTAGTCAATGTCTCTTTCTCTCTCTCTCTCTCTCTCTCTCTCTCTCTCTTCTCTCTCTTTCTCTCTCAAGTGAAAGACAGACTACCAGCGCAAGTGCTGATTGGTTTCTGCTTTCCTGCTTTCTGCTTTTTTCCCCAAGTGCGAATCCTCCCTAATCGCCCGGGATACTCTCTTGCTTCCTTCGGCCTTACCGACAATGTGCTCTTTGCTTTCTGTCTCTTTCTCTTTTGTCCCCTTTTCGCTGAAACTGTATGTCTCAGGCCAGAGAAAGATAAAGAATAAGAAGCGGGGAGCGCATTGTAAATCAGGCTTTATACTTAAAGGACCGGCCGCTCTCTCGCGTCTTTTTCACGTTAGAACACGTCCCGCGAATTCCGCTCGTCAATGCACCGCACTTTTCTGTCGAAAGTGTCTGGTAGCTGCGATGGTATAATCTGCACGGTGAAAGCATTGCAGCCAGGAGAACCATTTTTCCGGTAAAATTGGCGGTATAATGTTGACCGATTATATGCCATTTATTTCATTTGGCTCTCACTATTTTTGTACCAAGCTGAAGATAATCAACGATGGACCCTGAAAACCGACGTTCAAGTCTGTTATAGACCTTGAAAATCGACATTCAGATATCTCGGGAAAGACAATTTTTGCAACGAAATTGACGGTATAATGTTAACGATTGCATGTTTTTTTCATTTCACTGGGCTCTCATTATTTTTATACCAAACTGGAAGATGGTCTGCGACAGATCTTGAAAATCGACACTCAGATACTCAGTTTTGTCATGTGATGCCTGTTGTCCTTGATAATAATACATTAACGTAGTGAAAACTAGCATATTTTATTTTGCAATAGAGCTCTTCGGGAGTTTCTAAGTCTTGTAGTCCAGTTAAGGTTATCTTGTTGACGAAATAATTGGTCATCTTTTCGTCAATGTGCCTCGTATGGCAACACGTGGCCCTGGAAAAACGACGTTACAGCAGCTGCTGACTCGTGAACATTCTTTCCTATTTCAAAAAGTTTCCGAACAACAAAGACCTTTGCCCTTTACAAACACGTTTGAAGGTTTGAAGAAGGTTTAGAGGTACCTTTGAAGGTTTACGCGAGACTCGCAATAGGCATTCATCATTGACAGCAGTTAACTCTTTGGGACAGAGGATTTTAAGACGAAAAAGACGCTATAGTTGCACAGAAATTTTATTTAAAGAAAAGGTAACATAGTAGATTTATTTTATTTATAAATGATGAATTATCACGGTCCCCTCTGTTCACATTTTGTACAACAACTTTGTCAGTAATCAACATTTTTAAGTTTAAAAATAATGAGGAAACATGTCTCATTAAATGCTGAATGTGTACGTACCTTGAAAAACATCTCGAAATGCTCGGAAGTAAAAACGCGTTATAAAAAGTGCTAGCTATTGCGTATTGATATATTAGCGTCACTGCGCTAACGGCGAGCTACTAGACAAATCATTTCACAAGTAATAACTGGAATTCGCTACGTAATAACGGAGATATTGAGAGTAGAGCCATAATACCCACAAGGGTCATAATACCAGCTTCTCCTCTACTGAAAAGACGGGACGCTTTCTACCCCACTCCTATGTCTCCCTCAAAGAGTTGAACGCGCCACAGAATGTACGAAAAAAGTCCATGGCCCACTCTAAACTCTTTGAAATATTTCAATCCAAAGGAGCGAAAATTCCCCAAAGGAGGCGAATGTTTACCTCAGACTTCGAATGGACTTTCTTAACCCACGCGAGTGAACGTTTCAGCCAATTAGAATGAGTTTATTCCCGTGAGACTGCAGCGAGAGTACATTAGATACGTCCTCCTTGACTTCCGGCTGAAGATATTCTTCACCTGGCGACTCGAAGAATCCCCGCGCTCGGTATGAAGTCACTCGAGTGACTCGGCTGTTAATTCATCGTTTGAATGCGACGTCGAGCGCGCATTTTTCTCCGCGCTTAAATCAATGCGAAGTTGCGCTCGTAAGGTGTAAAAATGTCTTCATCGTCCAAACCCGTTGTTTATTGTTTATCTTGACGAAATAAGATGGCGACTTGTGCCGAACATTTCAACCTGACTGTGTGTGCGCACGCACACGCTTCTACGTCGATCTATACGCGACGGCGGGCTTTAGCGTGCACCAGTGCGCACTAGTGCATCGAATCGAACACCGCAATTCTAGCCATTATTTCGCCCCCCCCCCCTCCGACGCTTTTCAGGGATATAGTTACGGCATAAATGCAACGAGCAAGTGCTTTAGTTTCGACTCGTGTCGCCTGGGTGATATTCGCTCCAACTTTTCCACTCTACACCGTCTAATGCAGAATACCTGCGTTCTCCTCTCTATTCAGTCTTAACAGAAACGTGTACATTTCGCTGAATGTATCTCGAGCACGTGTGTGTGTGTGTGTGTGTGTGTGTGTGTGTGTGTGTCGGCAATAACGAAGATAAAACTGTTATTAGAGACTTTTTATCTCAGCACTTGAAAGCTGTCATGAAAGAAAGTCGCGTTAGCGCTGTCATGGGTGAAATTTCGCCCCGGTATATATTTCTCTGATTTGAAAAATCACAAAAGTGTCGAA